CATCCATCCATCCAAAAACAATTCTTCCATCAATCAATCAATACATCCATCCACCCATTCTGCATCATCTCATCTCTTCTTCCCTATCCAAATATCCATCCATGAATCTATCCAATCATCCATTTTATGATCAATTGATTATCCATCCTTCACCATTTCCATATTCTGCAACAATCAATCCATCTTCATCCATCTATCCATCACCAATCCTTTTGTCTCTCCATTCATCCATCCATCTAAAGATGGACACAAAGAAGGATGAAATGGTTAGGATGGATGGAAGCAGCTTTTATATGTTAAGTAATAAATAAATAAATAAACAAACACCCCATGCTCTTTTTCCTTTGGATCTAATGGATTTTGTAGTTTTCAATAATCTGTGAGAACTCTGTCTGTGACTTCCTACTTTTGCAAAGACATTTCAGACAAAGACACAAAATAATAATAGAATAGCTCCATCTGTCCACATCTATGTCAGGTTAATTAGATAAATAAAAGCAGCACCATCCGCCCCCAATGCACTTAGTTATTAGAGGAAAAGATTTGTAATCAGCTTTAAAGTCAGATAAAACTGCAGCTTTCACACAGCAATGGGCATGCATTACAGAGAGAAAACAAACAATAACTATTGATTGTGTTGAACTGTTGTTTAGCCTGACAGAGACAGGGGTGAAAGGGGATACCATCAATAGATCTGCAGGTGGAGTCAAGAGCAACCGTAGAAGTGACTTATATGACATAACAAACACAAACATGCAGTCAAACAATGCACTGTAATACTGAAGGCAGTTATTTAGATAAATGACCGCTCAATGCAAGGCTGAATTGTTGTGGAAAAACAAGGCTGTAGATAAAGCTCTGCTATGGATGTAAAGTCAAGAAGCTTTACATTACATTATATGATACACTGACAAGAAAGAAAGACTGGAGAGCAAAAGGCTAAATGAGGCAACGGTTTCACTTTTTTCATGTAAAATATGTCATTAGCAACATAAAACAAGATGTTTGTTTGTGACCAATCCAAATTTTCTCACCTAAATATTTGTATTTGTTGAAAGAAAGGCGAACACCAGAAAGAGTCTAAGAAATCTAACTGATAAACAGACTATCACAAAAACTTCAAGGTGAGACATTGTTATAATCATGGAGATCTCAGGATTTCTGATCATGATGATGATGATCCAGGTGAATATCAACAAACATCTCCAATAAAAATGGCGCTTCATGCCTACATTTCAAAGGTATTTAATCCTTTATTAGTTTTATTTTCAACCTAAGCAGGCAGAAATCATTATTATACTTTGAATAATGAATTCACAGTATAATCTGATCTGTGATCAAAAATTTCCAGTGAAGGTCTTTTCTTTGCACTAGTGCTGTTTTTCATGTCATTTTCAGCCAACTAAGCATAAAATATTATATATTATTGAAAAGAAAAACGTATTTAAGTATTTCTTCTAACAAGAACCCCAGTGATATATTTCAGACTTCTATTATTTTGATGACTCTGCCTAATGAAAACCCAAAATTCTCTTTCTTAGAAAATTAGATTAGACCATTACAAACAGTACAGAAATGTTAGCCTACAAAACATTGACAGACTATTGCTAATATTAGTTGCCATTTCGCTGGTGGACATAAATACAGTATAGTAATACTCTATTGACAAAATATCAAGAATAATATGTCCATCTTATTTGTGAAATGTTAAACCCCAAGCCCTCATCAATTTGAACAAAAATATCCCGCTATTTTGGTTTGGCAAAGTAGGAGGGACAACCACTCGAAGGAAACAAACGCACCCCAGTCAACACTTTCATTTTACTGGCTGACAGATTATCAGGCTACAGCGCATTTTTGTTCCAAAAGCAAGCACAAAATGTTTCATAAGCGAGCAGAGTTTTGAAAACGAAGATTTGCTCAGAGCAGAGACAAGTTCTGAGCGCGAGAAGCTTTGAGTACAAGCAGTACAAGTTTTGAGAAGAAAGACATGAAGTCCTGCTTTCAGAATGAAAATGTAAGCAGCAAACATATTAAAAGTTTTGAGAACAAAAGACGTGAAATCCTGCTTTAAGGCTGAAAATATGTGCTCTCTAATTATGGCAGAAAAAGTCCCCCATAGATGTTCTTGAAGCATGGACTCCAGCCACAACACACCATGTGAATTTGCCCCAAAATCTTGAATTCAAGATTCACAAGACTGCAGTTCTCCTATGCCTTCAGCACTTTTTCCTTCCACTCAACTTTCTGAATACAACACTCTGTGAAGACCCAGCTTCTTTAACAATAACTCTTTCGAGCTACCTTCCTTTTTAAGCTAGTAAGTGACTCTCTCCTGCACAGCATAACAATTTTGTATTAACATCGTAGCAAACTGTGCAACCGGATTTTGTGTTGATTAGCTGCAGCCAATATCCATCATAATTACCAGTAATAAACACCTGCAGACGGTAATGATCCTTACCTGGCTGTGTTGAGTAAGGGATGCTGTGTCCCCACCAGCTTTCTGACGTGCATGGCCACATTGCTGAGCTCATCGCTGAGCAGGCAGCGCAGACTCATGAACGACGTGGGATACCCGACGATCTTCTCCGCGTCCGACACCACTTTGCTCCAATTGGAGGAGGACTCCGAGCTGGAGAACAGGCTCAGACCTCTCAGTCCACGGACGGACACGGACACCCAGCGGGTCAGACTCGACCCCGGAGCTAGAAACATGTTACTATAACCTCTGCACTAAAATCGCGTTGCTGCTTTATCTAAAACACTTCCGGGCTTCTCTGCTTCTTCACATATTTAAAGCGACCTACTGCCGTCCACTCAATCAACACACCCCCAAAAATGCTAATAAAACGGGTTTAACATTACAGTAAGAGCATCCAGGTCTGTTTCACAACACACTAACCCAAACAGGGCGCCGCCATGTTTACGTACGTAACTCCTTACGTCAGGAAACGCGACCTCCTAACACGACTTCCGGAAAGAAAAGCCGGTTAGTTTAAATTATGTTTTTAAAATTTTAATTTATAATATCACATTAAAATTTTAGGTTTTCCAACACAAAGTTGTGTATAATTAGGAAGTGATACGAAAGGTTACACTGTGCGTAGTGATGATAAAGTCATAAGACAGAAGATTTTTAATGATGGAAGATAAAGTGGCTCGTGGTGAAAATAAAAGTACAGGGCGTGAAATTTTTATATAAATTAAAGCAAAATAAAAAAAAGGAATAAAAGAGACAGATATACAGATTGTATACATTGTTAATGCACCTTATTATTATTATTATTATTATTATTATTATTATTATTATTATTATTATTATTATTATTATTATTATTGTTGTTGTTGTTATTAAGCTCTATCATAAACAGTATCCAGTCAAATTAGATATTTAAGAGACACATGCTTGTACACAATGTCATGATAGTCCATTACAGACTTGAAAGTAGCATCAACCAATTGCTTTGTAGCCTTAAAAGATGGAAAGAATCTTATCTTGATATAAAATTTCAGCTTTTTCACCAGCTGTTGAATGTGGGGAGTAAAAGACTTTTTGACCCATTCATTCAAAACGTCCTCAGCAGTAGTTAAAGTGCAGTGAGTAGGTGTGTACAGGGAAGCATGGAGGAGAGGGATGGCTTGCAGAGCTCTTGGAAAGACCCTGTCCCTCAGTCTGGTGGGACAGCTTAGCAATCTAACTGACTGACAAACTAGACATATATAAGGAGAATAACCAGACATGTAGCACACACAGGAAGGTGCTTTGGTCAGATGAGAACAAATTTAAATTTGTGGTGGCCTACATTCAGAGCTCCATCTATAGAGAAAAACTAAAACTCATTAACCTGAAGACACCATCCCTGTTGCAAAACATGGTGGTGGCAGCATTATGCTGTAAAGACGCTGAGAAGATTAGAAGATTGAGCAAAATTCAGACAAAAAAAGCTAATCGATCCTGCAAAAGACTTGTGGCAAGGGCAGTGGTTCACCTTCCAGCAGGATGATGACCAGAAACAAACACAAGTAAAATGGTTTAGCCCTGAAGAGCCATAATTGCTAACTTTTCACAGTGCAAATAAAATTCAGGACCATTTAAAAGCTGTGAACATTTTTTAAAAGTGTGTGTAAATTGCAAGAGCAGACTTCAAATTGTTGGTTTTATTGAGCGAGAAATCATTAAGCAGGCATTATTTAACTGGTCAGACATCTAAACAATCCTGGCTGCAGCTTAAACCCACTTTCAAGAACAATGGATAAGATGAAATCTGCAGAATTTAAGGTCAACAAAGGTTAATAATTTCAATAAAAAATTGAAATACAAAGTTACTGAAATGAAATGTACAAATAAAATGGTAGTTACTAGTTATTTGTGCATGTTATAAACTGAATGCAAACGTATATACATCTTAGTTTTAACGTGATTCATGATTATAAGTGCATAGTTAAAGCATTTTCTCTGCACGTCTCTAAATACTATTTTACATGTCTTGCATCATTTTTATACCAAGTGACAAAAATCTCCTTTCCAGTAAATACCATTTTTAACCAAACAGTCCAAGTTATGAGAAGTGAAGCTCCTCACCTTTCAGTTCCTGTAACACAATAACTGTGACAATATAATATTTCCAGTGTGTTGGTGAATGTCCTCACAGAAACAATGCTTTTATTGACTCCTTCTGCGTCTGCTTGTTAGTGAAGTGTCAAGGACATCTTACACGACCGTCTGCTTCCTCCGCTCAAAAACCAAACTATTAAAAACGAATTGATTTACTCTCTAAATAATAAATGTTTGCTACACTCTTTCCATGTTTGGGTAACAGAATAGTTGTACTTTATGAGTCATGTGTTGCTGGTGCAACAGAAATACTATAAACGATGTCTAGTAATAATAATGTCTAATAATTAAAGTACAAAGTATTGAAAGAACAGTATGCTCAGAGTATAGTTATTGCTTAAATTAGAGTTAAAAAGAGTTTAAGAAAAAATGGGTAGAAGAAATCATCTGTAAGAAACAGGAATCAGAGTTACAGTCAATTTTTGATTAGTGAAAGGCCTGAGGGAGCAACGATCTCCTGTACTGGTTGCCAAGGCAGTGAAGTTACAGCCGACTACTCGAAAAATGCTCAGGGAAATGTTCAAAGCCTGAGATATTACTTTATAACGTAGCCCCCCTGCATTAGCTGTAATCCTATAGTAAGCTGCTTGTTCTGTATTTTATTTTTGGGTAACAGAGTAGAAGGAGTTAAATATAAATACCTGCAAGACTTTCCAGATTCTTATTTATGACATAAAATCCATCCAAACTACAATGATGTTTGTGGTTGTCACATGACAAAACGTGGGGGGAAAAAAACTGAATACACGAATACTTTGGAAAGGTAGTGTATAAATCTGCATTCAGTGTTTCCTAAATAGAAATATCCCCAATTTAATTTAAAATAAATCAAGTGTCTGAGGCCCTGTGAATGCTGGATCTTGTGATTCAGATGCTGTCCTGCTGCGGGTTTTGCGAGGGATGTGAAGAGTCATCTCACCCTGACCCTGCATCACGGTTCACAGCTCCCGCTCCTGCTGATTTTCCGCCTGAAATGGGTGTCACTTTGCCATGAGCAGCCTCATCCAAAACTCTCAGAGGCTTCCCTCATTGTGATTCAAAGGGCGACGTGAGGCAGGAGCAGGTAAATTCATGCACAAAGCACAGAACATTTATGAAAAGCCTCTGGTTCCTGTGCCATTTGACAGTAAGGCAATACCGCAAGATCTGCTGTAACGTACAGAGACGCTGACTTCTGCTGTGCAGATGGTGCAGTCAATGACAATTCAGAAGAAGTTGTTGAACTTAATTATCTTTAACTCTTCTTCAGCCAAAAACAATGTTTTAGAGCTATTCCCAATCTATAAACTTCCTGAAGTATTCTCACGTCATTCCAGTAGCATCTCAATAAATTAAAATATCACTGATCATTTATTACTAAAGTCAACTTCAAAATGTAAATGTAATATTATGTACAGCCAAATCATCGAGTGTATTTATGTTCATTTTGGTGATTGTCAGTTACAGATACAATGGGGGAAAAAACTTAATTAAATGTGAAAAAATTGCATGTTTTATCACGTACAACTTCTGACTTGACAGTTTTTCAACAACAAGAAAGTTAAGTGAAAGGACAAGGTGTGTGCATAAGCAAAATAGATAATAGTAACCTTGAGAAGTTTAACAGCCTTTTCAAGGGTTTGGGGGAGATTCACAAAGAGTTTCAGAAATCACTTCACAGTCGGGTTTTCATTGTTTCTTACATTAAGACAGAGCCTGTGACAAAGTGAGAAACACCAGGGCTAATAAGCAGGAAAAGGACAGAACTGTTGCTCTATGTTTCAAAGTCCTCTTCTCAGATGGAAGTGCATTTCACATTTATTCTAGAAATAAAGAGTCTGGAGGAAGGAACGAAAGACACAGAGTCTCCACAGTCAGTGATGATTTGGGGAGTCATGTCATCTGCTACTTTTGGTCCACATGTGTTCAATCAAGTCGAAAGTCAGTGCAGGGATCTGTACCAGAAAATTGATGTTCCCTTTGCTGATAGGCTTTGTGGGGATACTGATTTCATTTTCCAGCGGAACTAAAAGGATACCTAAAAAAAAAAAAAAAAAGCTAAAGATCGCTATTAAAGCAACATGACCTTCCCTAACATCTCCATGCCGTGCTGCGTTGATGCAATAATTACTGTGAAGGAGCCACAGCTGAGTTTATACTGTGTAGTACATTTAAATACTTTTTCACAGTCTGAAATGTCTGTATTCGTTTATGCTTTATTTTCTGTTTTATTGGTCTTTTGCAGCATTAAAATGTACTGAGAATTTAGAGCTTTCCGAATAGCTGTGAGTGGTAAACAAGGCTGAAATATATCCCCATGTGTGTAATTAATCTAATTTTATTTTACAAGTTTAGCAGAATCTAGTAGCTACTGCCTTTCTTTAATACTCTAATGTGCTGACATACATTTGGACCCCAATCTAGGAGCCGTGGATGTAGAGAAACCCAACAGGAAACTTTATTTCAACACTGACTGAAGGTTTAAACGTTTTTGCGCCTCTCTTTCTAATATTAGTAAGTTCTTATACATTAGTTAAAAGTTAAAAGTTAAAAGGGACTTTGATCCAGTATCCAGTTGAAGTTACAACGGATGACCTTAAGCGCTCTGAACGTGACGTTTGTTGTTTTAAAATGACAGCAGCAGACTCTGCTGAAGTGTCTTGCTGAGTGGTGTGCGTGTGCGCACCTGTTTGCAGGGCACGGATTGTGCGCTAAGTGGATAGGGCCGCTCTGATTGCGCTCCACGGGAAAGCGAGAAGAAATAGCCTACCTCTGATCATCAGCGCGTCATATAATGTTTCAGCCGACGCCCCTCCCCCTGTCTCGTTTTCTCCCCTCACTCAACCTCTCCTTTGACTCACAGAGGCGGCTCAGCACCGGCGCACGGACCGCGGAGGATACGGCACAGAAGATGGCTGACTCGGCCGGGCACCGCGAACCCTCGGCGGGATCCCCGGCGTCACTCGGGTCGCTGAAGAGCCGCAGGACCTCCGGCGTGTGGCGGCTGTAAACAGCTGCCGCCGCTTCTCTCCTCTCGCTCTCTCTCACACACGCCCCCCTCCTCCTCCGCTCCCCTCCTCACCGCAAATATTGACAGAAGTATCACAGAGAAAACATGGCAGAAATGGAAAAAGAGGGCAGACCTCCGGAAAATAAAAGAAGCCGCAAGCCAGCGCACCCGGTGAAAAGGGAAATAAATGAAGAGATGAAGGTAAAGAGGCTGTGTGCCAAGCTGCATGAGATTACGCGTGGAGTGTGTCTGTGTTAGAGCAATAGCTGTCCCTCAGAGGAGGATTTCGGCTGCACCTTTGTGCAGTTTGGTACACAATAACCAAACTTTAATTTACGATGTTTGTGCATTTTTATTTTTATATATATATATTTTATTTTTTTTCTTGTGCTGAAATGGGAGGCTCTGCAGCCTCACACAATGGA